AGCTTTGTTATCTATAGTTATGTTTTGTTTTGAATTCTATTGGTAACCTAATCTCTATTATGTGTTTGTTATTGGACCTCTGGTTCCTTGGATCTGATTTGTGGGGTATGGTGTCAATTCTTGTTGGAGGGCTAGTGGCCCTCTTGGTTGGGGTTCAGCGTCAGAGCACCCAATTCAAAAACGTGGGGCACTTATAAGGATATTTTGACTATAGGGCAAGCTTTTTATGCTTCCCTTACTGCATAAAACTTATATACTTCTCCCTATCCAACCGTCCATTCTAAATGGATGGCTGAGATGGCTCCATTCACAGTGTTACATTTCTACACTATTTTTATTTTAATTTTTTCTACAAAATATTTTGACACCAAATTTTGGGAGTCCACTCCTCTCTTAAACTGGCACTTGCAAAAAAATATAAAAACAATATTCTCAATAAAATAAAATAACTAAAATACTCCTGAAAATTTCAAAAGGTATTTTGGTCATTATATTTTATCAAAATTTTATTTTTAATATTTTTATAGGTGCACCCCATTGAGAAGATGACACATACCAAATTTTATATTCATACAATTTGTATAAAAAAAAGTAAACAAAAAATACTCCGAGCAATCGGATCTAGACCAAATGGTCATAGGCTCGCTTGATCTAACTTGGATGGCTAGATTGGGGGGGGAGGGGGGGTGAAGTATATATCTTCTATGCTATAGGAGAAATATAGAAACCTTTCTCTTGACTATATGGCTACAATTATTTAGGATTAAGTTACCGTTTAGATATTATATAAGGTGTTTATATGTTTCTAACATAGGGAAAAAGATTTCTCAATGAGTAATTGACGAGTACTAGCCAAATCATTTATCGTCTTTGACCATGGATGACGTCACATTAATGACGAACTAGATAAATGTTGGTATATTCCTTGTTTCTATTTTTCAATATTTTCTTTATATTTTGTTATTGTTTGTGGTTAATTTTATCTTGGTTTCACATTGTCATCAACCCGTTTGCTTAGGGCTTTTAGGGTTTTGGGGCCTTAGCGAAAAGTGTAGCATCCTTCATATCTCCATATTCTAGATCATTGAGGACCCTGATATTTGCAAATCCATCATTTTAAGTATGAACAAGTTCCTAAAATAAAGGATTGGAGTAAAAAAATGCTCCACCTTGGATGTGATACTAAACAGTCAAATGTGCACCACATTTTCCAAATGTGCACCACATTTTCCAAATGTGCACCACATTTGGAGTTTCATTTAGTTTTCTTAAGCAAAAATGAATGTACAGGGTCTACAACAATTTTTTTTTGGTCCTTAATCAATCAAAATGATGTATTTGGTCAGGGTGCGTTATAATATTCTAATGAGGAGGAAGCCTCATGCTAACCCTGCAGAAACTTAAATCCACTATCTTATACTTTGATAACAAAAATCAAGTTTTAAGAACCAAATAAATGTGCTCACTATACCTTGTCCATTATCACATTATTTGAACCCAATAAAACAGGTGTCGTAAATCATGTTTAAACCTATAGAAGCCAGAAGTATAATTATAAAACGATTATATAACCACACCCATGACATGTGCGGGGCATTTTGCTATTTTATTTTCTGTATGTGATAATTTTTTTTTCTTGTGTGTTTTGGGGCATGGCACCTCTCCTGAAAATTTTAGCTAAAAAAATATTTATAAAAATATTAAATGAGCGTTTTTTTCAATACAATATGAAATTAGAAAAATAAAAAATGTAAAATCATACTGTGCATTTATTTCCTCCAGCAAAGCACTTACTTGGAAGATTTTTTATTTATTTTAAATATTGAGATTCATTTAATTATAACTAGATGATTATTTCCAAAAAAAAAAAAAAAATTTGAGTTTTTGAACATCTAGATTATTCCCTTCAAGAATTAGATGGTTCCGATGCAATTTCGGGATGCCTCTTTTTTTTTTTTAAGGCGCATAGAGAGTGAGAGTTAAACTTTCTTTCGTTGACGTTGGTTGCTAGGTTGTATAGATCACATCCCCAAATTTTGGGATCTAAAAGATACTCCAAGGCTAAAGTTTTCCCAAGGGAGTAAATGAATAGTATATAGTCCCATAAGAGTAGAAAAATCTTTTGGCATAACTAAGTAAGAGAGGGGAAGAACGGTCATATTCCCAAAGATGAGTATAGATGAATAGTATTCTCCCTTTGGAGTGGGAAATCTTTTCGCACAACTAAATAATGAAGGGGAAGAACGGTCATACGCCGCCCATAAGTATGGACTTCTCATCACTCACTAAATACTTTGGTGCCTCCCCCAAATCTAGCGGGTTTTCTAACATGGAAAAAGTTTAATAAGGTTGCAACCTTAAAATGTAGAATTAAAGAGGCACCTCAAAAATCATCTAAAAAGGTTGTTCTAATGTTGAAAAGCTTTCTAATTGATCGTCTCAATGTCGAGATGTATGAATATGAAAAAAAAAAGAGATTTTGAGCCCCATAATGGAATACTCGGTTTCTTCTAAACCCTGACATGTCACTCCTTTTCTTTTGGAGGATGGTGTCGTCTTACCAAACCCCTTTAGAGAAATGGTAAGAGCAACCCCAACTTTACTATAATTGTCCAATCTCAAGCATTATTTCTAATGTGACAAAATACACTCTACAATGATTATCTAAGTGCACAAGGTACTTAGCTAAAAGTTCAGATTGAATCAGGTCATATCTAACTGACAAATAATGATTTTTTAAAAATATTAATTTTTCATTGTAAAATTATTTTTGCCTTAAATTTTGAGGGTAGATTAATTTATAGGGTGTACTAAATTTCAGAAAAATAACTAAAAATTTAAAATAAAAATAAAAATTATTTTTTCATCATTAGATATAGCCTGATTCAGTCCAAACCATTGATAATTATGCACCCCTCAAGCATCCACATCACGTGGGAGTCGTACCATCCCATATTTAGAAGTTGATGAGTGATGACGACACTAAATATTTACGACGGTTCAAGCTTAATCAAAGAGGTTTGGTTGGTATGTTGAGATCAAATGTTTCGACGCAAACTAATTTTATTTAGATAGATTGAGTTGCTTTTCTTTTCCAAAAAAAAAAAGAAAAAAGATTGACTTGCTCTGCAATTAAAGTCTAATACTAAGCAGGGCAGTTTGAAGTTTCAGTAGCACAGGAAATGTTACACCATAAACAACAATCATTTCACACACTGGGCAATGAACAAGCAAAAAATATGGAAAGCAGCATTAAAAAATGAACCTGTTAGGGTTCAAACAGTTTGAGTAAAGTGGCACGTGCTGTTGTTCATTCAAGTTGGTTAGGTTAATGCGGAATGACATAGTAGCAACCCCATTTTCTGCTTTGGGGGGGGGGAGACCTACCTCACCAAGAAATGGTCGTGTCCAACTTCCTAATAAAATCAAGCCTGCCTCGCAGTACCTCTATTTCAATTTGAATTGTATGTCTTCAAAGTTTAAAAGTCTTTATTCTTAATGCAATTGGAAGTCTCTTGAGGTTTACTAGTGATTTAAAAATGTGCAACAAAATTTGAGAAATTTTATTTTGACGTTTAGGCCCAACCAATAATACAACACCTGCTACTCAATTTCATATCTAATAGTCATTAATGATTATGATCTCTTTGTATAAAAAATAAATTGTGTTATTATATATATATTTTTTTAACAATAGGCATGGGGCCGACTCGCCTTTGCAATGAGTTTAACTACCAATTGTGATGCAAATCACCTAATCATCATTATCATTTGAGCCTTACCTCAACTATTTGATATCTCAATTTTGGCATATATGGTTAATGGTAGAGAAGTTTAAATGAAACAAACAATCAAAACAATCACCCTCCTTGCAGTCACAATCAAACTCGAGCAATTATAGGAGAACACCAGTGAAAACCTTTAATACAAAATCTTAGTAGTTGTTATACGCCAGATTCTCCACCTAAACATTCTAGAAGTAAACAAAGCCAGTGTTTCAAAAATCGAACCGGTTGGGTGAATTAGCCATTAAAAAATCCTACAAATCAGACAAATTCTTTGATATTACTTTAAAAATATATAAAAAATAAAATAAAAAAAGGTTAAAAATAATAGGTGGGAACTGGATGATTAGACCACTCCAGAGTCCTTGATAGACTTGCCTAGTTTCTTAAAGGAATCAAGCAAATCCATCCAGATTGAATCCCAGTTTCAACGTTTGATAGCCAACCGGTTTAGTAGGGAATGAACCCCGATCCAAATCAATGCTTCCTGATCAAGACCGCGGAATTTCTAAGTCTTTGGACCTCATTAGTTTTCTTGACTAACAATGGAGGAGAATGGGAAAGGGAAACGGGTTGTGGTGGTAGCACCTCCACACTGCAATCAGCACGTTGTGAATCCATTCTCACCGACACTACCCCACTAACACTTTAGAAAAATAACTCTTAAACTATTTGAAAAAATGGGTAGAGGCCTATCTTTCCCATTGAATTATATATATATATATATAGAAAAAGTTTATATAGAGCCTAGGCTCTAAACAATCAACTCATAGCCTACCTTAAAAATTTCACTAGAAGAGGATGTTTTGATGTCCAAATATCTTTAAATTGATTATCTTGACATCAAGATGCATGGATATTAAAAAAAATGAATTTCAAGTTTTAAAAATAGTGCACCTTGTAATGCATTTTTGGATTGTACCGTAAAGATTTTCAGTATTGAAATCACATTTCTCGATACTATTTGAAGGTAGCCTTTACTTTGATTGTTAGAGCCTCGGCTCTATACGAACCAGACCCCTTAGGTCATAGTAAAATGAGGAAGGGCGTTTTAGGGATTTCACGAGAATCTAGGGCGCCGAAGCGATTTTCAGGCAAAGATTGGGAGGTTTTGGATTAATGTCATCTCACTCTCTCTCTCTTCACACTGCTCCTACAAGGAAAGAGAGAGAAAGAGGGGTAAGCCCCCTGCAAAATAATAATAAGAATAATGGAAAACATTATTAGTATTCATCGGGGTGAGCTTTTTCAAGAAGTATGGGATCCTCAACACGCCCTAAAGCAATTCCCACCATTTTCGAGATGCAGAGAAAAGAGCCCCTCTCTCTCTTCATGCTCCTCCTCCTCCTCTTGATTCTCTCTCTATTCCATGGACTCCCAGATGAGTTGTCTCTCTCTTCTCTCTCATAGATGCGAAATCGCCATGTTTCTGATTCTTCTGAGCTTTTCTCTTTGTTCTTCTAATCAACTCTGAGATTTCTTCTCTGCTTTTTGGTGGGATTTTTTTGGTCTACTTATTCTTGTGCTGGGTTAATTTATTGATGATTTGGGGATTGGATAGTTGGGTTTTCTATTGTTTTCGTTTCTCTGAAAGTGTATATAGTGCTTGGACTCTGTGTTGACTTGCTTCCTTGAGATATTTTGGGTTTCTCAGGAAGATTGTAATTTCATTTGTTCTTGAAACTTTATACCCCATTTTGATCTAAAAAACTCTGGGTTTTTTTTCAGTGTTGTTTCTGTTGTTATATGTAGCTTTCGCGTTTTCTTTGTTATTCTCCTCATTGTATCATTTACTTCTCATACTTTGTGGATCTGAGCTTTAGTATTCTTTTTGCTTCTGTCATAGTTGTTCTCATATGTATCAACTGGGTTTGCTTTGTTGTTACCCTAATCTTTGAATTACAGTTCACAAACAGTCCTATAACCCCCAATCATTTTTATCTTGGGTGGGAGTGCTTTGGAGGAATATTTCAAATTCCCTTTCATTTTATTACCTTCTTTCTTAATTTTACAGTAATTTAAGGACTGATTTTCAGTCAGATCAATAGGCGCCTGCTTCTTATGAGCGAGGCAAATTGGTCTATGGGAATAATTGACAATTCGTTCTCTGATCTTATAGAAAGAGTGACAGATTGGATCCCCTGGAGTAGTGATCTTTATAGTGTTTCTAGGGAATTTTCAATGCCAAATGAGGATTATATGAACTGTAGTGAATTGGAGGGTATGAGAATTAGCCCTGAAGATGCAGAGAGGATTAGGGCATGTAACTTTTGTAGTCAGTCTCTAGATTATGCAGAGAAACACCACCCTATGGCTTCTGGGCAGAATAATCTGCCCCCTTTGGTGAGTTTGGATGGTGATAATTTTGATAGTTCTTCTGCTAATTGTGGTTCTGATGAGAACTTGGTGTTTGGTCAAAGTGGATCATCTTCTGGTGGTTCTGATGAGAACTTGGTGTTTGGTCGAAATGGGTCTGGCCAAAAGATTGTGGATGCCTCCTCTGTTGATGGCTTTGATCGGTTTCTTGAAGGGAAGTGTGATTCTCCTCAATCAGGGCTTGGGAGTAGTGTCATTTCGGCTTCGAACCGTTTGTCTCGGCTCTCCATTGGCTGCCGTTCTAGTAGGTAAGTAATGAGATGATTACTATGTAAACTAGATTATGCAGAGTTTTTATAGTTATGGAAAATTTCAAAGAGCATCACCAAATCTGGGTATGCTATTTGTCAAAAAAACTGTGCAAGACACTCAAGAAGTATACTAAATTTCAAAAAATTAGATTCAGTTTCAAACTTTTGATGGAAGCCACCATTTATTTTGAGACTTATTGTTAAATTTCAGGGGAAATTGTTAAAATATTATCATTAATAGGATCTAGGGTAATTTATTTGTTTTATCTCTTTTAGCCTTTGAGTAGTAGAATGCAACAGTGCTCCAATAACCTCCAGTTGATGTGACCATAGTTATTAAGTTCTACACACATCCATGCTTTTAACTACACGCACACCCTGACACCCATTCATGAATCATAATATCTATCACTATAAATCCTCCTGCAAATTTGTTGTTGTTGTATAATTAATCAAACAGGAAGGTGTTTATCTGTTGCTGCATGGTTTTCTGAATGGGAATCATTTTCTTTGATTGCATGCTTTATGTTTGAATAAGCTCAAATGAGTATTTTTCCGTCTTAAATGTTTGCAGAAGTGACTGGGATGAAGAATGTTATTTTAAGGATGGGGAGGCAACCAAGAAGAGTCACTTGAGCCCATCAAATGAATGCTGCCAAGAATTTTCTGATATAGATGGCGAAAGTACGTTTGTCAGACACGAGTTGTACAACTTCAAGTCAGGAGCATCTAGTCCTTGGAACAGCCCCACTATAATTAGTAGTCCTGATGGAGCTGAATCTTCTGTGAAAAATGACCAAGGCGGGACCGCAAGGTCACAAAATGATGCTCTTATGGAGCGAGATATGTTTAGGAGGAGTGAGACAGAGACTGAAGATCTTGATGATTGCACTGATGCATCCCCTGTTTATCGGCATGAATCTCAAAAGGAAGGTCACCAACCTTTGGATTTTGAGAACAATGGCCTTATTTGGTTTCCTCCTCCCCCTGAGGATGAAGGGGATGAGGTTGAAAGCAGCATCTTTGAATATGATGATGAGGATGATGATGATGTGGGGGACATGGGATTGCGATTCTCGTCAAGTAGTTTCAGTGGCAATACTTTCCGAACCAAAGAGAAACCAAGTGAAGAGCTCCAAGAACCACTTAGAGCAGTCGTTCATGGACACTATAGGGCTCTTGTAGCACAATTGTTAAGGGGAGATGGGATTTTTGTGGGGAATGAGGATGACAAAGAGAGTTGGCTAGAGATACTTACTGCACTAGCATGGCAAGCTGCCAATTTTGTGAAACCAGACACTAAGAGGGGAGGAAGCATGGATCCTGGTGGGTATGTGAAAATCAAGTGCATAGCATGCGGGAAGCCCAGTGAAAGGTATGGGGTTGAATGATTTTTGGCAACAGCATTTGTAGGTGGTCCTTTTTCTTTGCATATGTAAAAAACTAAAGTCATGGAAATTTGTTTTGGCAGCACTTTCATTAAGGGGGTTGTTTGCACAAAGAATATAAAGCACAAGCGAATGACATCGCAATACAAGAATCCTAGGTTACTTCTCTTGGGTGGAGCATTGGAGTATCAAAGAGTTGCAAATCAGTTAGCTTCTTTCGATGCCTTACTGCAGCAGGTGAAGTTCTTGAATGTTTATGTTATTTGCTTTTTCTCTCCTTACAGTTTTACCAATATGGTTACTATTTGTGCCTTCACTTATGGTTTTGGCAGGAGATAGATCATCTCAAGATGGTTGTTGCAAAGATCGAGGCGCATCGGCCAAATGTGCTATTGGTAGAGAAAAGTGTATCACACTATGCCCAAGAATTCTTGTTGGCCAAGGAGATATCTCTAGTGTTAAATGTTAAAAGGCCTCTATTGGAGCGAATAGCCAGGTGTAGTGGTGCTCAGATTGTTCCTTCTATTGATAATCTTACTTCCCCAAAGTTGGGTCAGTGTGAAAATTTTCGGTTGGAAAGATTTGTGGAAGAAGATCGTGTTGCTGGTCAGCCCACCAAGAGATCCAGTAAAACTTTAATGTTTTTTGAGCGATGTCCCAGGCGTTTAGGATGCACGGTAATATTTCCACAACTTTGGAGTGCCAATGTAATTGTGATTCATGAAGTGTCTTGCAGAAATTGTCAGTATTATGTTGGTACCCATGATCTGTTGCTATGCATGCCTGTATGCTTCCGTTTGTGGATCTGAAATTAATGCATGTTATATGACTGGCCCTCTACCTGCTTTGAAGGTATGTGACATCAACTTTGGAGTGCCAATGTAATTGTGATTCAGGAAGTGTCTTGTAGAAATTGTCAGTATTATGTTGGTACCCATGATCTGTTGCTATTCATACCTGGATGCTTCCGTTTGTGGATCTGAAATTAATGCATGTTATATGACTGGCCCTCTACCTGCTTTGAAGGTATGTGACATCTCCAGTATTTTACTTGCTTGCATCCGAATATTTACCCAGGATGGCTTACTTGGGGACTTAAATGTTTTTCTGGTTGGTGGCTCTAAATTAAACTTTCTTTGAACATTAATCATGACTGACTAATAAAGTCTTGAAGTTAAACTGCAAGGCACAATGTTTTGTTCTGCTTGTGAATTGTTTGGAATCTCATGGACTAAGATACTGCAAAATTTCACTTTGTTTGTTACATTGAAATCATGACTCAATTTCATGTTTACATGTTCTGGGCTCAAAAGAATGGAATTACCGTGAATTGGGAGAGTTGAATTAGTTTTCTTAGTTTATGGATAAAGCTCTTGCATTTTCACTGCAGTTTTCTTAGTTCTTCGTGTCAAATCTACGTATGGCATATTGTTACTTTTGATTTGTGCATAGTATCCATAAAAGGTGGAATAGGAATTTCCATTTAACACTTCAGAAGTGAAAGTGTTAAGAAGCTTCTTAGAATTTCTGGAAACTACAGTGAAATCCACGGGGGAACAAAATTATCAGGAAACAGGAAAAGAGAGGCCATGTCTCATTCTATGGTATTCATGTTTCCTAATGAATGGGAAATGTGTTCTACACGGAGTTTTTAAACTCATTTATTCGACCCAGGACTCACCTGAGTTGAATTACCTTGGCACCTCAGCTAGTGTGTTGCCTTATGATGAAACTCGCGTAAGTCAAACCTTTTTAGAATGTTCTATCAATAGACTTGGCTGAGTCTTAATAAGACTAGCTCGTGTTGAGTCCGTAACTCAATATTGAGCCTGGTATGCCCTTAGCTGAGTCAGACTTTTAAAACACTGGTTCTAAATTTAAGAGAAATAGGAATTATATAGGAAAATCCATGTGCTCATGAAATTCTTATTTGCCATTTTAAATTAGTTTCTGTGCTCTCTTTCCCCTTGATCATCAGTAATGGCGAAATTACTTAAGAGTAATTTTAGTGAAGTTCTTTTTTTCTGCTTCTTGTCCTTGATCTTTGTTAGAAGTTGCCAAACCATTTGAAACTGTCAAATATACCATTAGTTTTCTTTATGATAAATTTGGCTTTCTTAAATGTAATGTGTATATTTTTGCTGTTTCTCTTAATCATGAAAAAATCATAATGTTTAAATTGATTAATGCAGTTTATAGGTTTGAGGTTCTCCTTCTTTTGTTTCATTGTTCCTTTAATTTCGTTGTAAATTTCACGCTTCAATTTACTTGTAAAATAAATTTATTCTTTTTTATTTTATTTTTTCCATTTAAAAAATTTTAAATTTTCCTCAATATTTCTTAATAAAGTATTATTGAATTTTCTTCTTGTTTTGTGCAATAGATTCCACAAATGACATCCAGCCTGCAGACACACCCAGTGTCATATGTTTATGTTTTATTACATCCCTAACTGTTGAAAAAATGATTTAAATATGGGGTATCTATTCTTGATTCTTATGATCTTCATAGTGTTGATCTATTGGCAATAGATAGTAGAACCAAAATAATCATATAGACTGGTAATTGTAGAAACGGAAATGTGTAAGAGCCGTACTAAGCAGGAGCTCAAGCAGCTGTAGATGCTACTTCTTGGATTTCGTAGGACATGCCTGGATATGAAATCTGTGCTTATATTTTTTAGTAGGGTTTTCAGGCCTATAATGCTTGTACATGATACAGCTGTGACATTGATATTTTTTGGTGATTTCACTTTTTTCTTTGAAGTTTTGGACATGGATTTTTTAGCTCGATTCCTAGAATGTGTCATAGTTCCACATGGCAAATTTTTGTGTTTGATATGGGAGTTGACTTCTTCAAACCATCCATGCATGTGTATAATACTCTCTCTCTCTCTACCT